CCAAAAGCATGAATGAAAAGCGGTGATTAACTGGAAAATAGCCAAGTGAGGGCACTTGCATAAGCCTACTAATCGAACCCACAACTTTATGGCAGAAAAGTAAATTTAGCGAGTGAAGTTACTTGGGTACTAGGTGAAAGATAGAAACTTACGATGCCTGGATAGAATATAGTTTTGAGTCTACTGATACTTCTACACCTTCATTTATACCTCTAAAGTGAAAACGTAAACTCCGAACTAAACTATAATTGCCATTAATTGTACTACTTTCTCCAGTAATTGTTTTATATGGGACAATAAATGAAAGATGGGATGCAAGAATACCTTTCTCCTTCTTAATGCTTTGAGTGGGTTGCATAACCTTTGCAAGAAAAAGAATAAATTTGTCAAATACCATACACCTTGACACCTCGATTGATGAAATGAATTATCAACATAAATCTACTCCATAAAAACAATGGGAAAGTTTTGGCTATAAACTAAGGGCATAATATTGGCATAACTGTGCAATTAAAGAAATTTAATGAGCACCATGAGAGCTTCATATTCCACCATTAACATACCTGGTCTTGTAAAGCATCAATATGAAATACATCTTTTGTAAGCTGTGAAACTGAAAAGAAAAAGCAGGAGAGGTAACGCCTTTGATCATTATGACCTAGAAACTGAACAGACTAGCTGAATTTTGAAAATCAGGAAATACAATCTGATGAAAAATACAGCACCTGATTTTGCAGCCAGGTCTGTAGACACATCTACCGGCCTTTTAGAGATCTGTAAATTGTCTTCCTTATAAGGTCCTAAGTTATTGGCAGCCATAGAATCAGGACCCTTCTTATGTTCTAATGGAATTGAAGGCCAATCAATTTTTGAGGATGATAGATTCCTCAGCATTTCTTCCGTTGCTTTATATCTCACTTTTCGTATTTCATCTTGGATGTTCCATGAGCCGGTGGCAAGAGAATTTCTTTTCCTCTACATTCATGTTACCCCCCCCCCCAAAACACACACACACAAAAAAAAAGCAAATTAAAACATAACCAAGGGAAAAAGAATTTCACAGACAATCACTTGTACAGTTATATCCACACAACATGCACATTACTGGCATGCATCTTTTCCAATCAGTTAACCAAGTTTCAACAGCTTCAGGTTAGAGGAACCTGTAATTTAATTTCTTTTCTTCTATTAAAAAAAACACAGGCTCAACCCCAAAAGCAATTGCAAAAGTAACACAAAAGGTCAGCTGGAAAATCATATCATATCCAGATATGATTAAACCACATGTTATATGCCAAAGAAGCCACGGTAGTCACCAGTCTTCTTACATGTATTTGAATGAGATACATATATGAATATGACATAATTTCATTCATAGGAATAAGCATATAATAGCACCTTAGATGAGTACAGGAAATTGCCCCCAATTGAATATGTGTGTCTTCCTTGAAAAGTGACATCACAACTGATGATGGAGATCTAAATTCAGTATTGTTCTTAGAAGGTGATGCCCATGGAGGACAAGTTTGCATGTATGACTTGGCCAAGTCTACAGGTAATCCCACTTCACCTTCAACATCCTGCAACAATAAAACCTACTGAGAAAAAATGGGTATATTGTTGCACTGATATAATATTCAGATATCAACAATTTTAATTTTTAGTTTTCTTCTACAGAAGTGGTGTTTGAATCAGTACTCCAATAAAAATAAATGAAAAAAGGATACGACATCGCTTTAAATTGTTGCATTCACAAATGTGAGTAAACTATGAAACCAAACAACTGGCACAAATACTCCTTATAAGAAATTGGCAAGTATAAGGGAAAAAAATCTCTAGTCAGCATTTTATAACAGATGACATCGCTTTAGATTGTTTTTTTTTCTTTGTAAGATCTTCGAACAACCATTTAAGCACGCGAAGCAGGACTTATGATATCATCTAAATGTATATATTGGTATTTTATAACAAATGAAACCAAGTAAATTTAAGGTATGGCAACCACAAACATCATAGACATATGGACATTCATGTATTCAGAAAGAGAAGCAAAGAACACATTAAAATACATCGGCCTAAAAGTTGTATGTAAACAGAGGCAGAGCATAATTTCACTCTTCAAAGCAGAAAGAGATGACACAGAGACAAGGCGAGAAGGAGAATTAAAAGAACATTCAACTTAAAATTATCCGAGGCAAGAAACAAGTTAAACATATCAGCATAAAGAAGATGGCACATAGTCAATGAGAGAAGGGAAAGAAAAAGATCACTCAGCATAAGTTATTAGGTTATATGAGGCAAAAGGGTACCCAATACCGCACAGCCTTACTTAAAAAGCTAGCAATGCCTAGCATCATTGATGAAACAGAAAACATCATCGTGATGATTTATTAAAAACCCTCATAACTTTTTCGCATGCACTTTTTCCTTATAAGAAAGAATCCACGAGGATCATATGAAAAAAGAGTTACAAACGTGTTTCAGCATAACGGAATTCAGAGCAGAGGCCCCATGGTGCCCTTCTGACTTATCATTTGATCCTGACTTCTTCTCCTCCAACAACTTTGTTGCTTCCAAAACAGCTTTGTTGCAAAAGTCATGAATTTTAACATACGAAAAAAAGCAACACAATCAGTCAACTATGAGTGCTGAGAAATTAATTCTTCAAATCTGGTGCCTCTCAAGTTTATGAAAGCCAAACTATTTCCACCTGTTCTCTCAGGTGTTTCATCTAGTCGCCCAACCCCAAGCCGCAGATTGATTGAGAATCCACAACTCTTGACTTGATGATATCTGTTAGTTTATCACACTCTTGCCTGGTCAAAATAGAATCCATTACAACTTAAACTATGCTTATGGACATAAAAATGAGGGATAATCAGTAAACAATAAAAAATGTCATGTGAATTTTCCCAAGGATTTAAACACTGAACATGTCATAATGTACATGCATTACTAGGTGTCACTCGCATAGTGTATAAGCAGAACACCTTATGGAGGAAGAAGAAAGGGATTAAAATAAGAAAAAAAGTCCAAATAAGAAGAAAGCTAAGTTTTTACCTCGAGAAAGACTCCTCCATGAGAAGCTGCTCTATTAGACACTTGGATTCATTCTTTCCTGCAAAAGATTGGGGCACTCTCTGATGCCCCCACAAAGGAAAAACTAAGGCATCCTCTAAGATAATTACAATCCTCAATTGTGTCAAGAATGTGTGCATGCTACCATGGCAGTAAGCAAAATAAGGAAAAAAAGTTACGAAATTAGCAGTCACATTTACCAGTATCACCACATATTAAGAAAAAATTGAAGTTCCTTTTGAAGCATGACCTAAAGCATAAAGGGCAGCACGCTTACATATTCAATTGCATGAACCCCTTGAGATGAGACTTCCTGGTCATCATTGTTGTCATGAGTGCCATCTGCACCAAATAATAAATAAATGAACAAACGCAATTCGCGTCATTAGGGAACAAACTTTTTCAGAAGCATAGACGGTAGCAACTAGCAACATGGAATGTTTATCTCCTCCAATGTTAATCTATTAGCCTCTATTTCTATAGAAGGAAATGTTCTTAATTATCATTTAAAAAGTTAGGGCCACTTTGAAAAAGGACGAGAAAGACATCCGCAGTAATAAAATTACAGTACGCAGCATCCCCGAAATCACGTAGCGGTTGGCGTGCAAAGCAATGTATTTTGCAAAAGGGAAGCATAAACACAATCAAAATTATTACTAAAGTTATTTCCTGCAGACATGGCATGCTCCTATTTTGTGTGGAATTGAACAGTTTAAAAATTCGCATACTTCGATATCGGATATGCAAAAAGCTAGAATAAAAGCTACTACCACCACCCCTGATATCATTGAACGAAAAGGAGGAAATTAGAGGGAAAATTCGCATTCTGAAAAATCTATATGTAGAAAGGGTAGATGAAACCTGAACAGGAACCGCATTCCGAAGATGAAGAAGAGGAGGAGGACTCAAAGCCAAGGACAGAGGCGAGCACACGGCCGGCACCAGTAACAATGGCGCGAGTGGGAGGAAAAATGTTCCTGGAGATCCAACTATGATTACGCAAAGCTGAATTGAGAAACCCGGGGCGGTCGTAAGGCGTGTCGGGTGACGCGGCACAGATTGGGGTCTCGGTCTGGGGAAGCTCCAGAAACGGTGGTCATATCGGAGGATGAAAGATAAGCTGGTTCGTTAGAAAAAGGTCCCCGTCAGGCTCAGGTCATTATGATTTATTTGATTTCATCCGTTTTGGATTGTTGTTTTAATTTTCCTGGAGCGGTTAATAACCGTTGTTTCCAAATTCAGTTGGCCTAAATTTTCAAGTATTATTATTATTATTATTATATTTTCTGCCATTTTCAGCGGGACTGGAAATGAATTGGATGGTTATGCTTTTAAGAAAAAGAGCAGAGTTTTTCCTCTCTTTTGGAAGGCAGGAATAAGAGAGTTGTGTTTATGTTTAGGGTAAATTACATCAGAGGTCCTGAACTATACTTTAAATGATTTATTTTGGATACTAAAGTTTTATAATTAAAATGATCATTAAAATTATTATAAAATATAAATTAAATTTATTAAAACTTATGATAATAAAAATTCCTTGAGACCATTTTGTAATAATTTGATAAATTTAATAATCAACTTGTAACGTTTAAAAGTTAAATGACTAAAAAGATACTTGAGAATAGTGTAGGAATTTCTTTTGCAGTTTACTCGTATCTTTATTGCAGGTTGAAGGTTGAAGGTTGAAGGTTGAAGGTTGAAGTCTATTCCAATCATTGCAATTCAACCCACTCAAATGGGAAAACGTAACAGAAGAAGCCCGGCCCATTAGATTGGACTCACAGTAACGGTCTGTTTTCTTATCTCATTCGTCATTAGCTGAGCAGCCTCAACCTCCCGTCACCGTCTAGGGAGGACGCTACGTTTTTTTTTACCCTGGAAAATAATACGCACACAATGTTTATATATATAGTTGATAAACCCTAATACCCTCCTTTCATCCCTCAAAACACTAAACTCCAGTTTTTAGATAATTATCTGCGATCAAAACAAAAGAGGAAATGCCGGGGCTAACCTGCAACGCGTGTAACAAAGAATTCCTTGACAATGCAGATCAGAAGCTCCATTACAAGTCTGAATGGCATCGCTACAATCTCAAGCGCAAGGTTCAATTTTTAACTATTCCTTATCGCTTCTCTTTTTAATTTGTTATGATTTTTCTGAATTTCTTTGATTTTTTTCCTGATCTTTGATTTATTTATTTATTTGAAGATTTTAGAAAATTATAGTTGATCTTTTGCAATCGTTTTCGAAGATGAATAATACTGATAACTATGTTGAAGCTTGAAATCTCTCTATGGGAATGATAATTAAGTGAGTTTTAACTGTAAAATTAATTAAATCAGGTAGCTGGAGTTCCTGGAGTTACGGAAGCTCTATTTCTGGCAAGACAATCGGCACTTGCTCAAGAGAAACAAAAGCAGAATGAAACCCCAATGCTTTATAGTTGTGGTGTTTGTGGCAAGGGCTATCGAAGTTCCAAGGCTTATTCCCAGCATCTCAAGTCACGTGCCCATATCATGCAAGCTTCTCAAGGAACCAATCACCCTCAAGAGGAGAAGGCAATTATCAAGCCACTTCCTCGTCGTGCTGTAAACAAACCTCCCCAACCAAGGGATAGAGATGATGAGGAAAGCGAAGATGAATGGGAGGAAGTTGATCCAGAAGAAGAATTGGTTGGTCAGACTGCAAATTCTGTACGCCATTTGAATGTAACCGAGCACGGTGCTGGTGATCAGATGGAAGAAGATGAAGAGGAGGAGGAGGAGGAGGAGCTAGATCCGTGCTGCTGTTTTATGTGCGACCTTGAGCACAATACAATTGAAAGTTGCATGGTTCACATGCATAAGTTACATGGTTTCTTCATTCCTGATATTGAGTATTTGAAGGACCCAGAAGGCTTGCTCACCTACCTAGGCCTTAAGGTACCATATTGCATGTGATTTCTGGTTTTTGGCTAAATTTGTTATATTAATATATTGAATTTTGGTCTGTTGGTTGTGTTTCAGGTTAAGAGGGATTTCATGTGTTTGTATTGCAATGAAAGGTGCCATCCTTTTGCTAGCTTAGAAGCTGTTAGGAAACATATGGAAGCCAAAGGTCATTGCAAGGTGCATTATGGTGATGGTGATGAAGATGAGGAAGCAGAGTTGGAAGAATTCTATGATTATAGCAGCAGGTATGCTTCTCATTTTATCTTTTTCTTTATATATATATATATATATTTGTTATTGGTTATTATTATTTCTTTGGAAACAGCTATGTGGATGAGACTGGGAAGCAGTTGGTTGCCGTTGGTGACATGGGCAACTCTGTAGAACTTGTTGGTGGCTCGGAGCTTGTTATAACCAAAAGAACTGATGGGGGAATAACAAGTAGAACACTTGGTTCCCGAGAGTACTTGCGCTACTATCGCCAGAAACCTCGTCCATCACCTGCAAATAACATGGCCATTACAACTGCCCTGGCCTCTAGGTTTGTTTCCGCTCTCACCATGTCTTATAGTCTAGCACATCCAAGATTGGAACTGCAATTGCAACAACCATCAAACAACTATAATTATGCGTATATATGTTAAAGGAGGCAATTTTGCATTGATTTTCAGGTACAAGAGCTTGGGTATAGCAACCGTGCAGTCAAGAGAGCAAATAGTGAGAATGAAAGTGATGAAAGCCATGAATAAAAAGGGTGTGGATGCAATGCGTACAAAAGTTGGTATGAAGAATAATGTCATTCGTAACTTGCCCAAGAATGTCCCATATTAGTTCTAACTCTCAGCACATTAGCTTATCTTTTTCGGTATTATATTATATTGTATATGCTGAGAACCACTTTTGCTTGTGCCGATCCTAGTAAAATCTTAAATTTTATGTAAAAGCCGTTTGAGATGAAAATGAAATTAGTTGGACTCGCATGACGTCTACAATTTGGTTTTTGGTTATTAGCTGAAATGTGATGGATAATGTTGTTTGGTGAATGTTCTTGTTAAGTGGTAGTAAAGAAATTTTGATTAAAAGATAATTGAACCTTTCTCGCCTGCTCTGTTGCTAGAAAACTCTCCAATGTTCACATAATAACTCTGTTGGAAATTTGAAGAAAATGAAAATGGGTATTAGATTCGTAAGACCAAAACACCTTTCCTCATTTTATAAGCATTTCCTGTTTTTCACATCGATCTTGAATTACACAAGTCCATCTCTTCAGTCTTAGTTTGAAACTACTGCTGCTGCTCAACTATTTGGGTCACGATGCCCGCAGCAACTGTCCTTCCTAATGTTCTAAGACACACCCTTCCAAGAGCTTTACATTTTGAAAACTCTTCAATGCAAATTGATTCTTGCAAAATTACCTGAAAGTAGAAAAATAGACGCATGTCAAACCAAATTTGGTTGCAATTATGAGGCCAATAACTCAAATAAACCAGCAACTAGAAACATCATCCTGCTGACTTGCCTCAACGATTGCACTCTGCTTGGCAACAATGCAGCGGGGTGCTTTCTTTGCAACCTTCCCAGTCTTTAAATCAAGCAATGATGATATCCTTGAAACTCTTGCAGCTTCATTTGCATGATGCACATAGAGATCCAACTGATTATTCCATTTAGATTTCAGTAAAACCTTAACATTTCAGACAAAAGAAAAACACACACGGGAGAATGTACAGAGGAAACTTGCCTGAGAACCCGTTAAAATTGGGGTTGCACCATCCAAAACCAGCACCCTCAACTCCAAATGTTTTGCAAATGCAACTGGTAAATCAGGATGACATAACACACCACCAGCCATCACATTATTTCCATCTATCCCATGCAGGTTGACAACTACATTGTCTCCAGCTCTTGCAATTGAACAAGCTTGGGAATCACGCTCTAAGGAACGCACGGTTGCTATATCTGCAGATGGCATAACTAAAACCTACAATTGTACACAACGAATCATGGTTACAGATGATATTCATGTTCTATTATAACCAGAAATTAATATCATTGGGCACCAAAGAGGGACTTTTGTACAGGTAAAGTAAATCAAATATAGCAAGCCACGATAACATATTATCCCAATTCCAAACAAAAACAACCTCTATCATCAGAAATGGGCATACCTTTGATCCACTTCGAACAGCTCCAGCCACTAACTTGCCACAGGCAGACACTAGCCCCTGTGAAGATTTTATAACATCACATATAGGCATAAGTAGGGCTTTGAAAAATCTCTAATAGAAGGCTGGAAGGAATCAATTGCATCTAATAAACAAGGCCCCTGATACCTGCATTAAAATTACCAAGTTAATTCTTCAATGTTTGCACATGAATGGGAATTCTGACATAGTACAGTCTCACTTCTAAGTGATAATAAAATTTAATTAAATAATTAGTACAGAAGTCCATAACATAAATATACATGTCTTATGTAATGAACACCATCACACTAAATCTTGTAGTTCAAAGTCGAACCTGGCATGCGTGTTTGAACCTAAATGAGGGCATCAACCAGTGTACAAGACATTACATTTCAATGAGATAAATGCAACAAATAATAAAAAGATAAATCATAATTTTTATCGCATTAGAAACATAACAAGCTGCAATGCTATTAATAGAAGTAAGGCCCTCTCTCCTACCTCATGCAATCAAGATAACAAATGTGGCCATCACAAATTGGAGATACACAAATAAGAAACAACAAATTCAACTAGACTGGAGGTGATAATCATATTTCTCAAGACATATGAGTCTCTAATGAAAGCAGGGTAGGACATTAACAATAAATTGTCGTTACAATTTGGAAAAAGAGCTTAGCAAACTTATATTTTCACCAATACCATGAAAAGGCACAATTCAGTGGCCAACTAATATCATCTCCGACAAAAAGTTACCAAAAATACTCACAAGTTTTCATTTGGATTGGTTAGACTATTATTGCTCTTGTTTTTTTTGTGGTCAGCAGAGATACACAACATCTGAATTCTAATACCACATCTGAATTCTAATACTATAGTATTTTGAATACATGCAGTAAGACACCTCACCAGGATAAACGAACATCAGAAGGTGCAGCCACTAAATTCTGATTTTCGACAGCACTTGGTGGAATTCATGAAACCGAGGAGTCCTTAAAGCCACAAGAACAAAGAAATGTCCCAAGCTGGGATTTTATAAAATCAAATCGATCCTTAGAATAGTCAACAGCATCTATCTTGTTAATTGCAACTATAATTTGATCAACACCAAAACTTCTGATGAGTTGTGCATGTTCCCTTGTCTGTCCCTTTGTGCCATCCATACCAGCTTCAATTGAACCAATAGAGGCATCTATGACAAGAATCACAGCATCAGCTTGGGCTGCCCCAGTTATCATATTTGGAACAAAATCTTTATGCCCTGGGGAGTCAAGGAGAACAACATGATATCTTTTTGAATCAAAATAAGCTACAGCCACAGTCATAGTGATTCCCCTTTCCCTTTCTTCAGAACTCTCATCCAACGCCCAAGTATAAGCAAAGGATCCTTTTCCCTGATTGAAAATAAAAAATAAAATAAAAATACAGATTATGGACTTGAATTCACAAACTCACAGAAAATAGTCCAGAAATCACCTGCAATCTGGACTCCTTTTCATATTTGTGCATTTCTTTTTGGGATATTCGTCCCAAAAGGTGAAGCAATCTACCAGAGAGTGTTGATTTTCCAGAATCAACATGCCCAACCTAAGACATATGAAGAGTTATATCATAACCATGCTAAGAGGAGAAATAATAACACCAAAAACATTTAAAGATTGTTAGGCCCAAACTTAAAATGTAACTTACAATTGCAAGATTTAATCGAGTCAGAGAATCTTCTGCTTTTTCAGAGAGCGCCCATTTTTCAGGCTTATACTGTGCATGTGAATTTGCTCTTCCACTGCTTATATCTTTTGAGTTCCCAGATTCAGAAGCCAAAATCATGTTTTTTAGATTATTGGTGAGACTATGTGCCTCACCTCCATGACTTGAAGAGCTGCCGTCATCCATCATATCAATTCTTTCTTTTTGCATCAACGACGATGAGCTTGGACCACAAGAAGACATATTAACCGCGATAATACTTTCGTCCAGATTTTCAAGCCTGCCTTTTGGCACTGAAGCAGAAGTTCCTGAACCTAATGGTACATTGATTTCTAAATTCTTCAGGAAGATAATCTCATCGTTCTTGTCATTTGCTGTTGAGTCATGTGAGCTATCTGACCTTTTAGAACTTGATACTTGTGCTGCCTTATTCTTCCCAACCACACTTGAGGGAACTTTGGAAGATTTCAAGCCAAAATTCTGGGCTGCAAATAAATGAAAGCATAGAAAGAAGACAATACAACATTTAACTCGGTAAAAAGGAAAAAGTTTTCCACAATATCCATTAACTCTAGGTCCATTTTAGAGACTTTGAACTTTAATGCATAAACCACTCTTAAAATGCTAAACTATAACCAAAACAGAAAATCAGCACCTATTTAGAATTCAGACGCATATGCATATCAAGGTGAATCAGATATAGTTTGATTGTGATCCCAATTCATTGCAGCAATACAGAATCATGACAATAAGAAATGAACTATCCTCAATTCTTCATTGAAAAACAACAGTCCTTTAGTTTCTTTAATGTCTAGTACATCAATAATTAGGGAACGCTTTCTACATATCTGATTGCAATAGCCAAAAAATACCTTTTGGATGCAGTTTAGACGAATGCAGGCCATTGGAAACCACATCATCTGGAGATGGGATATCAAATTTAAACGGGGCTGTGTAAACATGTATGGTTAGAATATATAATTGCAAGATACCTCAAACACTATCTTTCGAAAGAAAAACATTAAAATGCCTCCCAATGGTAGCTGAAGAAATAATAATAATAGTAAGGAATTTTAAAATAAACAACAAAATGTTCCTACTGTTTGGAACAGCATATTTTCACATTAAAGTAACACCTGTGATACTTATATGTCCAGACCTATATTAATACGGGAATGAGTAGGAGAACTATAAGCTTCATGAAATTCATGAAACTGTCCTTGGTTAATGGTTTATGCAACATAGAGCTATAAACCAGAGACTCTACCATGTCTGATAGTATCTTGCTCATAAGGTTCTTTCACTGTTTTAAGAAATAATACCATTAAGTATGTAAGCAGAAAGATAAATGTATAATTTCTACTAACCATTTTGATCAGTATTGAATTATAGGTTCGTATTTGAGAAACCTTTCATGAAACATAGAGCTAACTAACAAAAAAGCAACACCTAATTGGTATGTCGTCGTAAAGCTAAGATGTGACAAAAAAGAGGGGAAAAAGTCCACTCACCATTTTCTTCTACATCATATCCGATTTCATAGTCATAGTCATCATGGTCATCGACACAATCGATTCCATAACTAACTTTTCGCGGCATAGTTCTAGCAATCAACAAAGAAACAGATGTTTCAATCAATTATGAATCAAATTCACAACGAGAATTTAAAGTCCAAGCAGGGCAAAAGAGTCTCATATGCCAAATAATAGCAGGAATTGCATTGGGAAATGAAATCAACCTTTAACCGATATTAAGATCTCAGACTTACAAGCTGAAAAGGAAACCTTAACAAAATATCAAAAAGCCGAGAACTGGAAAAAGGCCATGGTGGAATGAATTTGATTCTAAAATGTACTTTATCGTCTCTCCCACATCGAAGAAGGCTAAAGCTGTACTGCACGAAAACCAAAATCCAATTCAGTTCACACAATTTATACTGTACTCTCATTCATTTTTTTTTCAAATTTTGTCTCAAGTATTTAGTTTTTCTTTCCCCCGAAAAGCTCGCTTCCGTTCTCCTTCTAATGATTAAATAACCAAAACTAAAAACTCAACTATACTAACCAGAGATTCAAATAATCAGGCTTAGTTGAGGAGTTAAACTAAAATGTTCTAAAGTCAAAACAAAAAGCTCAACAGTTTCACGATTTCATAGTTTAGGAAGTGCAAGTGTTGTCGGGCATTTATGATTAGGAAGAGTCATAATGGATTACGAATTTCACGAAATTTGACCACTCCCTAAATATCATTCTAAGTGACCGATTTAGTAAAATAATATGAAACTGAAAAACCGCCTTCAATTATCCTAAAGAATCCATTTAATTGAACAAGGTACCTGGTTGAGGCTGAGGAATGCCGGGGGGGGGGGGACCCAGATGCTCTCACTCTTCGATTGCCTGCCTGCTGCAATTGCTAGTAAGTTTGTTTCTCGATTTTTCTTTCCTCCTTTGGGCTAAATTGTAAGCTTCTAGGAAAATTGAGGAAAAATTGAAGGCTTATATCACAAACAAATAAGTATATAAAGTATAATTTTTAATTTAAGTATATTTTTTGTCAAAATAAATAAAGAAATTTATATTTTTAGTCAAAATAGATACATAAAGTATTTTTATATTAAAATAGATATCCAAAGTCTAAATCATCTAAGTTTTAAAAAGGTTGGCATGTTGCATTAATTAAAGAATATTTTAGATATATGAATAAAAAAATTAAATACTTTATGTACGTATTTTGATCAAAAAAGATGATACATTTTAAATACTTAGATGAAAAAGTTAAATAATTTAAATATTTAAATGAAAAATATGATATATTTTAATAACTTATTTGTTATATAAGCCAAAATTAAACTTCAACCTTTGTTTAGGCTGGCATAGCCTAAGTCTACTCTTTCTAAAATGGGCCGGGCTCTTCAATAATTTTTTTTTAAACTGAACGAAAACAAAATATAATTCATGAATTATAAACTTAAAAGTTAGTATATCAAATTTCGAATCATATTATAATACAGGACTGGTAATGTTATCTTATCCAAATATAAAGACTTAGAAACGATCCTAATATATATGGTAATTTCAATGTCACTTCTTTAAATTTATATCATTTTTCCCTTGCATTTTTGTTATTTTCTTTTCTTTTCTTTTCTTTAAAGATTTGGATTGTATTTGTTTGCATGATTATGCCTCTGAGACCATTATTAAAACTTTTATTTATTTAACACTTATGATGGTTCAAGGTTTTTAATGCATAACAATGGTAAGAACCAGGGAATCTCACGCTAACTTCGATTAATATGAACATTTAGTGGGAAATTATTTTAGGAATAAACAACCTATTTTTAAATTAAGAAGTAAAATTTATAGAATATTATTTTAAAGACCATCAGCAAAATATCAAAATCTTATATTCCTATTGATTAAACCAAACTAAATAAAACAAATTTATATTTTTATGTTAAAATCTAGTAATTAATAAATGTAATAACCACCTACACCAATAATGAATATATATATATATACACACTCTCCCTTCAATAAGGTACAACATTCATACACTTATCACAGTTTCAATAAACCAACTGCTCTTTTGTTCCACCGCATGGACTGGAACTTATCTATACAAAATAAATGTTTGTGCCAAAATTTTGCTTCATCTATCAGATAAAACCGAGTTGCTCCATGAAAGCAAGAAACCCCGAACCACATTTGGAAAATCTACCCAAGACGAGATTTAACAACCAGAAACACAGTTAAAGAACCAACTTATTATCATGACAACAGCTTGTATTAATATATATTCTGATCTAACTTGAAAAGCTCGAAGAAACTTACCTCTTACAATTTCCCTAGCCACCGCTGGTACGTCTATCTCATCTTCAACCAGTCTATAGACATCCACTAGCTGATAGACAAAACATAGCATTCAGGAGCTTCTTACATAAGGTATTCTAACTGTCAAATTGCAACTACTGAAATTCATACAAACCTCTTCAACATGGAGCTTAGAGTCTTCAGTCAGAGCAAGAAGAAGCTGTCTACGGATACCTTCATCAAAGAGGAAAAGGCGAGCTCCATCTTTAATGTTGTCTGTCAAGCCCAACTTGCTTACTGTTTGCCAGCTTTTTGAACTGGGCCTAAGAAAAGAAGAAACAGTTGAAAGCTTTATGGAACTGCTCATTCTTCGATGGAATCTAAAGCAAGATGAACAAGTGACTAGCGATGAGATTCGTACACATTCTTCTTCACTTGCAGTGCAGGGTTACTACTCATTTTGGCCACATTTTCCTTGGCAAGAACAATAAGATTTTCCAGCCGTTTCCACTGGAAAACACCATCTTTAAAAAGAACCTGACAGAAAAGGACCCTTAGTCTTGATTACAATCTCAGAAACCTTTTCAATGCAACAACTTGGGCAACAACAGTTATTGATTTACCATAATAACAATATAAACTCTACTCAAGAAGGATCATTTATTTTATTTTTGATAAGAAAAGAAGGATCGTTTATGATAACCTAGTACATACATGACCTGCAAATGGAAATGATATGCAAAGAGGCAACACAAATAAGAAGTCCCAAATTCCTTTATATGTGATAAGTGTAGTACAAGCAATTTGGAAGCAAGATGTAGTAGTAAGTATAGCCCAAGATCATATTTTTACATAGAGCTGTTACAATGAGTCTAATTGGTAATAATAAGTATATTCCTTTAATTTAAATGCTCATGCAGAGGAAGTGCTTTTTCACTTTATCAAATAGAATATAAGAGCGATGAGCATTCTAAATAAAGTAACAGATATAAGTACCTGTATGAGGCGTTCACGAAGAGCTGGATTAGGATCCGTTAACAGGCGCTTTGCCACATATGGGTAGGCAACCTAGTGAAAACACTTAGAATCAGTAAAGCTCTTAATCACAACATGGGTATATTTACATAAGAAGCTTCAGATCAGTTATAAAAATCCTAACCATTGACATATTCACAAAGGAGTAAACTCGTGCAGCACCAATTATTGAGCTTAGAGAAGAGGTGTTTTAAGGGAACTAAAGGGAAAGGCCTTTCCTATGGACGTTCATAAATTCAAAAGAATCCCAGTTTGTAATATTTTGCTTCTCTTTTTGCTCATACATATGTTATAAGCAAGAATTTGGGAGAGTAACAGGAAAAATAAAATAAAAGCAAAGAAAATTGAATTAAACATGATCTGATTAATAGCATATAATATTATCGTACTGTCGCAGGAGAGTACTTGCGAAAGGGGATGCAAACACCGCGTTCGATATCAAGTTGTTCCATAGCACTGCTAGACATCGTCGAAGGTAACACTTTATTCTGGGAGTTCGTGGAAGTCGTTAAACTCCGCCTGAGTGTTCCATTATCTACGGCAACTTCAGTCGTTGAGGCGGCAAGATTAGAAACTCTGAAAGCTGAGGGCTTCTTCTTGTTCCTTCGCTGCAGTGGGACGCCATGTATAGAGACTGGTGAAGATGAGAATTGCGATTTGTGTATGCAATTTGAGTGAATCAAGTTCATTATGAAACCCTCGAGGGAGAGGTGATCTTTGGCGAGGGAGAGGGGATCTTTGGCGTTGGAGAGAAGCCGTTCAGCTGCGTGAAGAAAAGAGTCGTGCAAAATTACTTAAAATGTTCGACCACATAACATTTTGCAGATAATTTTTTAAGCTAAACAAAATAAATAATATGGAAATTGTAAAGGAGTGCCTGTTTGGTTTGCGATGCGTCCACACTTTTTGCATGTTGCATATGCGTTACTTCTTGCGTGGCAATCGAAGCAGTCAACTTGTTCACGTCTCCTAATTTGATGTTATTTTTTTAGTATTGACTGTTAACATCGTTAAATACATTTAATCAAATATTATAAAGATTAAATACATATGTAATTTAAAAATTTACTGGAATTTTAAGAACATATTTAAGTATTTAAAATTATATTAATTTTTTAATTGAAAGAATATTTTTTTTATCAAACTAACGATAAATGATTCATTTGATATCAACCGAATAATTAAATGATCTAATAAAATTAAAAGATCGATAAAATATCTTTTTATAACTTAGTGATAATAAGTACAATTTCCTCTAAAATTTATTACCTTCTTAGCTAGGACTTATTTTATCGACTATAATCATTTTGAAATATTATTTGTGACTTTTTCATACAAAATTATTTTTAGATCCGCTATCATTTATAAACTTATTGCAATTGAGAAAATGAGGTCAAAGGAGTCAGTCCCTAGTCTTCAATGGAGAGTTTTCCGCTGGTCCAGATTATGAAGACCATATTAACGAATAGCAGGTTGAAGAACTTTTGGTTTGATTTACTTGTAGCTGTGTTTTTTTATTTATAGCCGGACTAAACTCAATAGCTTCTGTCGTCCGTTTTCCGACGCCGCCGCTGCTGAATCGTGATGTTTGTGTCTCCTCACAGTGTCTAGTACCTTTCTTTTTTTCTTTTTTCTTTTCAGATGGCTGAAACGTCTTATCGTTTTGTTCGCCGAATATGATTCACGTCAGATTTTTGCAAATAAGCATGTCAGTGTACGGCTTGATGACGGTATTTTCTGTTGAAAAGTCTTCTCAATCACCGAAAGGTGATAATAAAGAAAGAAAAAAAATCCACCGAAAGTGGAAATTGCTTTAGGTGGCAGAAAATGTTGAATTTTAGACAATGGTAGAATCATAATTTAGCCATTGTAATTTAGGGTATTTACAAATTAGTCCTTAGGTTTCAACTATAAATACCCTAGCTCATTTAGCTTCAAAATCATCCCAAAGCATTATAGCTTTCTTCCAATACTAGAGAGAATTTAGAGAGTTTCTTGAGAGTTGTTTTCTCCTTTTTATCAAGAGAGAATTATCATTGTTTTTTCCTTGGTAGATCGAGAGAGGTTGTAATTCCTATTTTCTCATAGTGAAATTCTTCTACCGTTGCCCGTGGTTTTTACCTTATATTATTTAGGGGTTTTCCACGTAAATTTTGTGTCTCTTTTTTATCTTCATTTTTATTTTCTCAAATTATCAGTTGCGATTTTGCTCTATCCGATAGCCGTCTTCCGCAACAATTGGTATCAGAGCTAGATTAGAGTGTGTAATATCTGCTTATTGTCTTTGTGGTTGCCACCAAAAGGTGGATCCTCCAATAAGAAAGTAAGAAGTTATTACCCATTCTTTGAAGGTTCCAGAGAACTATTCACGATAGTGAAATAGTGGGAGCTATCCGTAAACGAAGCAATGACAACGAAATTTGATATTGAAAAGTTCAATGGGAGAAATTTCTCATTGTGGAAATTGAAGATGAAGGCCATCCTGAGGAAAGACGGTTGTCTAGCAGCTATCAGTGAAAGGCTAGTAGATTTCACAGACGACAACAAATGGATCGAAATGGACGGAAATGCTATGGCAAACTTTCATCTAGCATTAGCAGATGAAGTATTGTCAAGTATCGAGGAGAAGAAGACAGCTAAGGAGATATGGGATCATCTCACCAAACTGTACGAGGCCACATCGTTGCACAATAAAATTTTCCTTAAGAGAAAATTGTACACTCTCCGTATGCCAGAATCTACTTCAGTGACAGAGCACTTAAATACACTGAACACCTTATTTTCTCAGCTTACATCCTTAAGTTGTAAAATAGGAGAACAAGAATGTGTTGAACTTCTACTTCAAAGTCTACCGGATTCGTACGATCAACTCATCATCAACTTGACAAACAGTAATGTCACCAGTCTAGTATTCGATGACGTTGCAGCTGCTGTTCTACAAGAAGAAAATCGGCGTAAGAACAAGGAAGACAGACAAGTAAATCTGCAACAAGTAGAAGCGTTGACAACGACGAGAGGAAGATCAACAGAACGTGGCCAAAGTAGCAGTCACAAACATGGTAGATCAAAGTCGAGGAGCAAGAAGAATTTAAAGTGCTACCACTGTGGAAAGAAGGGTCACTTGAAGAAGGATTGTTGGAGTCTAAATAAAAACTCTAATCCACAAGGCAATACTGCAAACACTTCAGATGATGGAGATGCTCTATGCTGTGAAACGTCAACCACCGTGGAATGAAGAAAACGATTTGCAGATATATGGCTCATTGATTCGGGAGCAACATATCACATGACCTCAAGAAGAGAATGGTTCCATCATTATGAACCTGTCTCAGGAGGATCTGTGTATAGTTGCAATGATTATGCCTTAGAAATCATTGGCGTGGGAACTATCAAATTGAAGATGTATGATGGAACAATTAAAGTTGTTCGAGATGTGCGGCACATGAAAGGTCGGATTGTTGGATAATAATGCAAGCAAGATTGAAACACGGAAAGGAATCATGAAGGTGTTCCGTGGAGCGCTTGTGGTGCTGAAAGGTGAAAAGATAGTTGCAAGCTTGTACATGCTGAAGGGAGAGACATTGCTAGAAGGAGAAGCCTTTGTTGCCTCATGTAGTTCAGATTCTGCAATGCTATGGCATAAGAAACTTGAACACATGTCAGAACAAGGAATAAAAGTCCTTGTGGAGCAAAAGCTACTTCCAGGCTTAACAAAGGTATCACTTCCTTTGTGTGAGCATTGCATAACAAGTAAGCAGCACCGGTTGAAATTCAACACATCAAATTCTAGAGGCAAAAGTGTTCTAGAATTGGTTCACTCTGACGTATGGCAAGCACCAGTAACGTCCCTAGGTGGAGCAAAATACTTTGTCTCATTTATTGATGACTACTCCAGGAGATGTTGGGTGCACCCTATTAAGAAGAAGTCATACGTGTTTTCAACTTTCAAAAACTTCAAAGCGCGGGTGGAACTTGATTCTGGAAATAAGATCAAGTGTTTCAGAACAGATAATGGAGGAGAATACACAAGCGAAGAATTTGATGACTTTTGCAGGAAAGAAGGCATCAAAAGACAGTTCACAGTGGCGAACACTCCTCAACAAAATGGAGTGGCAGAGCGGATGAACATAACCTTGTTAGAAAGAACAAGAGCAATGTTAAGGGTTGCAGGCCTAGAAAAATCATTCTGGGCAGAAGCAGTCAATACCACCTGTTATTTGGTGAATCGAGCTCTATCAACTGCAATAGAGCTGAAGACACCAATGGAGACGTGGACTGGTAAACCAGTTGATTATTCAAACCTCCATGTATTTGGAAGTATTGTGTACGTGATGTACAACGCCCAAGAAATTTCAACGCTGGATCCAAAATCCAGGAAATGCAAATTCTTGGGGTATGCTGATGGAGTAAAGGGGTATCGCTTGTGGGATCCCACTGCCCGCAAAGTGATCATTAGCAGGGATGTTATCTTTGTAGAAGATAAGCTACAAAGAAAAGAAGACGATGATAACGCTGAAAAGTCAGAGACTACTCAGATACATGTGGAAAAAGAGTTTGAAGAAGGAGATTCTTCTGAAGCAGAACCAGCACATGATGAACAAGAACCAGAGAGTTCTGAAGCTCCAACAACTCGTCAATCAGATCGTGTGAGAAGACGTCCCAATTGGCACTCGGATTATGTTATAGAAGGTAATATTGCATACTGCCTTTTAACAGAGGACGGTGAGCCATCAACATACCAGGAGGCAATAAACAGCTCAGATGTTTCACTGTGGATGATGGCGATGCAAGAAGAAATCGAAGCCCTTCATAAAAATAATACATGGGACCTTGTGCCACTACCACAAGGAAGGAAGCCAATTGGTAACAAATGGGTCTTCAAAATCAAGCGAAATGGTGACGATCAAGTTGAGAGGTATCGTGCAAGACTGGTGGTCAAAGGATATGCTCAAAAGGAATGTATTGATTTCAATGAAATATTTTCTCCTGTGGTTTGACTAACAACAGTTCGAGTAGTTTTGGCAATGTGTGCTACATTGGACTTACATCTAGAGCAACTAGATGTTAAAACAGCTTTTCTTCATGGAAATCTTGAAGAAGAGATTTATATGCTCCAACCTGAAGGTTTTGAAGAAGACGAAAAGAAGAACTTGGTTTGCAGGTTGAACAAATCTCTGTACGGTCTAAAGCATGCGCCGAGGTGTTGGTATAAGAGATTTGATTCCTTCATTATGTGCCTTGGATACAACAGACTTAATGCAGACCCTTGTGCTTATTTCAAGAGGTATAGTGATAACGATTTTGTTATATTGTTGTTGTATGTAGATGACATGTTGGTTGCAGGACCCAACAAAGATCATATTGAAGAATTGAAGGCACAACTGGCTAGGAAATTTGAAATGAAGGACTTGGGATCAGCAAACAGGATTCTAAGGATGCAAATTCACCGAGACAGAAGTAATAGGAAGATTTGGCTTTCACAAAAGAATTACTTGAAGAAAATCTTGTCATGATTCAGCATGCAAGATTGTAAGCCAATTTCTACCCCTCTTCCTATTAACTTCAAATTTTCCTCCAGTATGAGTCCTAGCAGTGAAGAAGAAAGGATGGAGATGTCTCGAGTACCGTATGCATCAGCAGTGGGAAGTTTAATGTTCGCTATGATATGCACAAGACCAGACATTGCACAAGCAGTGGGAGTGGTTAGTCGATACATGGCGAATCCAGGCAAAGAGCATTGGAATACAGTAAAGAGGATCCTAATATACATCAAAGGGACCTCAAATGTTGCATTATGTTACGGAGGATCAAACTTACTAATTAATGGGTATGTAGATTCTGACTATGCAGGGGATTTGGATAAAAGCAAATCTACTACAGGATATGTGTTCAAAGTTGCTGGTGGAGCTGTAAGCTGGGTTTCAAAATTGCAGTCAGTTGTGGCTACGTCCACAACAGAGGCAGAATATGTAGCAGCTACACAAGCCAGTAAAGAAGCAATTTGGTTGAAGATGCTATTGGAGGAGCTTGGGCACAATCAAGAGTATGTCTCTTTGTTTTGTGACAGTCAAAGCGCCTTGCATCTATCAAGGAATCCAGCATTTCATTCAAGGACTAATCACATACGAGTTCAGTACCATTTCATTCGTGAAAAGGTGGAAGAAGGAACGGTAGATATACAGAATATCCATACCAAAGACAACATAGCAGATTTCATGACGAAGGCGATCAACGCTGATAAATTTACCTGGTGTTGATCCTCTTGTGGCCTGTCAGAGACGTAAGCAACATGAAGGTACAAGGTAGAAAGAATGGTGTGAAGATATGATTGTTCCAATCAAATCTTCAAGTGGGAGATTGTTGAAAAGTCTTCTCAATCACCGAAAGGTGATAATAAAGAAAGAAAAAAATCCACCGAAAGTGGAAATTGCTTTAGGTGGCAGAAAATGTTGAATTTTAGACAATGGTAGAATCATAATTTAGCCATTGTAATTTAGGGTATTTACAAATTAGTCCTTAGGTTTCAACTATAAATACCCTAGCTCATTTAGCTTCAAAATCATCCCAAAACATTCTAGCTTTCTTCCAATACTAGAGAGAATTTAGAGAGTTTCTTGAGAGTTGTTTTCTCCTTTTTATCAAGAGAGAATTATCATTGTTTTTTCCTTGGTAGATCGAGAGAGGTTGTAATTCCTATTTTCTCATAGTGAAATTCTTCTACCGTTGCCCGTGGTTTTTACCCTATATTATTTAGGGGTTTTCCACGTAAATTTTGTGTCTCTTTTTTATCTTCATTTTTATTTTCTCAAATTATCAGTTGCGATTTTTGCTCTATCTGATAGCCGTCTTCCGCAACACTTTCTTGCTTTGGAAGCAACAAATAATTTTGATGGTTCGGGTGACACTGTTTGGAACAGAGTTTACTGTAAACTCTGATGGTGAGGCAGGACCAAATCCGACCTATTAGAGATTCATGAAGCAATATAGCTCTTTAGCGAGCGTCATGTTTGTTGTCGATGATCAGGCCTAATGTTCTTCCACAATTAGCAGGAGCTGATACATCTTCTCGGATCTAGAGTGATGTAATTCGATTTTGTTCACAATTCTCCACTACTAAGATAATGCATTTACACTACCGCCTGCGTTCTCTAAACAAAGGTGCACTCCCTATGGGTGAGTTCACGTTACAGGTCAATAAGATTTCCTTTTCCACTTCTGGCCACTACTAAGATAACTCGTTTATCTTCTGGCTCATTGAGCAGCAATCCGACGATTGAAACATCCTCGTGTCTCTTAGTGAGTCTGTCGACAATGAAAATCGCGTCCCCTTCAATAATCGCAGTCGACCAACCGCTCTCAACAGCAAACTTGAGTCCTTGAGTGAAGGCAGCAGCCTCAGCCGATTCAGCTATGAAAGGAGGAAACAATTGACGGCACATCCCTCCCACAACCATCCCGTTGCAGTCCCAGGCCACAATGCTTATAGCAGCAACTTCTTTAGTGGAACTGAAAGCCCCATTAACATTAATCTTAATTGTGCCCTCGGGTGGCCGAGACCAAGCTTCTGTGCGATCGTGGAAGTGAGGATTTGCCCCAATCTCATGCCAAACATTGGTGAATTCCGAACAGAGGGTCTAAGCTGTCATAATGGCATCTCTGTCCTTTTGAAGTTCCCCGCCATGAATCCACTTGTTTCGCCTATTCCAAATGTTCCAAAGAAGCACAATGAGCCTTGAAAGGCCTTCGTGGTCCAATGAGGGGGAGATCCATTCACCCAATCTTTACACGAGTCTCCTTGCCATTCAATAATGTTGGATTTGAGACCAGACAGTCGAAGAATGTTCATTTAGGACAATCTTTAAGAGCATGTAGCGCAACTCTCACGACAGTTGAATGCTCCCATAGAGAAGTTCGGGTACCTTCTGTTTTGCTTTTGATTGTGGATTATGGCTGATTAATTGATGTCAATTCTGGTCTTCTTGTTTGCTTGGATCGGATATTAAAAAAAACGTGATTACTCATGTTTTTTTAATCAAATAATATAAAAAATTGGTGTTTTTAAAATAAAATTTGTTTTTTTTTCTAAATTTAATAAAAATAATATAATTATTAAACGTCGAAAGATATCATTAAAATGATAAGTAATGTGGTCACCTAATAATTGGGATTCGAAAGCCATGGAAAAGGAAAACAAAACGTATTAATTCATAAATTGACATATGATATTTGCATGCCTACAGTACATGCAACAATTTGCATCGTCATTAGAGATAAAGAGAAAGAAATACGTCCCACGTGCAGTCACACCTGAGACTAGAGAGACTTTGGGGAAATGGCACGTCTTATTGGAACAGTAGCAACAATTCGTGGCTTTGGATGAAGTGTGTCGATCTGCTTCACGTGAATACCCCATATGCCTCGCTCTCCCCCCGTCCCTTGGCTTGGGCCATCCAGCCCCGCGCCCCGTCATAACCCACTCCAATACTTGTTCTTTTCTATTTCTATATGATTCCATTACTCCCCCCCCCCCTCTCTCTCTCTCTCTCTCTCTATATATATATATATTCAAAGTCAAATCTTGCTTTCAGATATACTTTTGTCTGTACTTCTCTCCCTCCCCTTCCATTCATATTCTGCAAATATATCCATATAAAAGGTTTCAAAGGTATATTTGTCGCTGTCATTTATTCAGGAACAACTCATAGCGAGCTGGATGATCATCACTGCAAAGAATTACCCTCCAAATTAATATCTCAACTCATATTATGTTCTCTTCATATAAAACAAATACGAAATCACGCGCATATAAATGTTTAATCTGTTGGGAAGTTTTTTGAATCGGTTCTCAACTTATAGTCATTAGTAATAGTTGTTTGAGAAAGCAAATTCTGACAAAACATCATTTACAGAATCATTGGGGTCGGCACTTTTTAGTTGGTCATGTCTCCTCGACAACACAACTGTTGTAGAATTCATCAGCCGCAGGCTGACATGGCAGAAATTAGTGATGGGATTTGATGGAAAAATCACAAGAAATGTAGCCTTGATCGTTATGATATACTATAAAAGATTAGGCAGTACATATACAAGCATGTAACAAAAGGCAATCCATCATACAAGCCTAGTACAAACAGTAGTTGTCTTTATTCTTTTTCAATTGCCTTGGCAGCTTCATGTAACGCCCCGCACAACCACCATGGCAAGCAAGTTACTAAAATCCTAAGCATGCGGTAATATTATACTAACCATAAAAATCCCCTAACAGACGAGATCGAAAGCACCTGAGAGAGTCGTAATGCATGCATGATACATAATTAATATACACATAGAGAGAGCTTTGATGAATGATGATGAGTTGTGTGACAGTCACATGTCCCGCACGTGGAAGACGTTGGGATTCTTAACGACGATATCATACATGTGAACGGAGCCGAACTTGGAGAAGTCTTTAGGAAGCGATATGAGATCAATGGAAGAATGCTTGTGGAACTGGTAGAGGTCAGGGTCACCCCCATAGTACCTCTCCCACCCTAAACCTTTCAAAATCCGGTCCAAGGACGAGTAGGAAGCCACCACTTCACCCGATGGTAAGTGCTCCAAAACCCGTCTCCGGGCTCCACTTTCAAGCCGATAAACACCATTGTTGAACACCCAAACCCCAGCCATTTTGGTTTTGTGTTTCAATGTGTTTGGGGGAAAAAGCCAATGAAGGTTGTTATATTGGTGGAGAGGGAAGGAAGGATTGGGGGGGTATATATATAGGTGTGCTGACGGGACACATAAAATCAGTAAAGAGCGGATGATAAGTGACGATGTTGATAGGTTAGGGCGTATTTGGGAAATGCACCAGAGAATCTAGATACTGTGGGACCTTCGTCCCCATAGGTTTAAATGTGAATAAGGGTACACAGATGCCTTTATGATGTAGTTTAGGGTACATCCATCCATCCACCCACCCGTGGGGTATGTATGTCTGTGTTTGCAGGAAGAATCTTTTTCTTTTTTTTTACCTTTTTATATTTAAATTGGCAATAAATTCATTATATATGCGCATATATAATAAATAAATGTAACTCAAGTATGATTTTTCTTTAGTTTTAAAATCGAGATTCTGGCGACACTTTTTTTCCTTAATGGCGTTCAAGTATACATAAGATCGGGGATAGACGGAGAGAGGGTTTTGGGATGAGGTCACAGCTGTTAGAATTTTCAGATTCCTATATATTTTAGATTTTAATTTTTTATTTTTTATTGATTATTTAATTTCGTATCTATTAAAATTTTATTACTTCGCACCTGAAATTTTTAATATAACTTCTTAAATTCGCACTCTATGATAACTTATTATATTCGTATTTGATACGTTTAAATTCATATATTTATATTATTATTAATAAATTTAAAATTTATTAAAATAGATATAATTTAAAATTTAATGATATTTTCATTCGATTAGTCAATGTTATTTTAATAACTTAATTAATTGTTGTTGATATATTAAATTAATTTCATAATATTCTTAAATTATAAATATCTATTTGAAATAAAATTCAGGTATTTTTTTTAAAACATATCGGGTATTATTTTTAAGAAAGAACTGTCATAACAATTTGTGTAACAAACCTTATTTTAACAAATAGTAAGATTTTATAGATTTCGAGAAACATTAATATTATTGTATATTACTGACTTATAATCATCACTTAAGATATGAAAACAACGGTGAAAAAAGGGCAGGCATATGTCTGGAGTCGAAATGTAGGGTGTAGCCCACTCACTTACTTGCATCACGAGATGCCCACGTGATTTGGACGTGGCTGAAACTTTCTAATTTATTTTGGTTTTAATTTTCCTTTTGAATTAAATTGCTTAACTAATCAATGCGTATGATTAGTGAAAGGAGATACATCTTGTTCTGTGTTTCTCATCATTGCCTACCAGTCGTTTGAAAGCTTAAAATGTAATTTTAAGCTTGTTGCCTTCTTTTTCTTATATTATTTATTCACTTATTATTATATGATGCACTGTTGCCTTACATTTTTATTCGATACAAAGTATAAGAATGTTATTTCAGTAATTAAATAATTATATTTTTATTTTGATTAAATCCACGCATGTTTATAATTTTAATCATATTTTTTAAAATAATATGACATTGTTATAAGATGATATATGCCCGTAATTTTTCTTATTCATTGACAACGTACGTACATCTTCTAGACATAGCTGCTTGAACTTAAAATTTTTAAGAAGAACAACATTCTTTTTACTATTGAAGTCCTTTTTGTATACACACGTCTCTTTTAATTTGTCATTTTTTAATTTGGTTAGCACGTATACTTTACAAATAAAATACTCAAATTATGATCAAAGTACTCCTTAAATTCTATACCTACAGTTTTAACTTATGTATCTCCCCTTAAACAGTTAGGTGTAAAACCTAATTAGAGCTTTGAAATATAATTAATCTATAAATTAATAACTATTATTGTTATCAGTGGCGAAGCCACACATGATTCAGAGTGGGTACGAAATTCGAATTTTATTTGGTTAGTTCTTTATTTTACTAATGGTGTTCACTCTAAAATTTTACCCACCCTAAAATTTTAATCGTGACTATCCATTCAAAAATTTTGTGTTATTAACCTATATGTATCCACCCTAAAAAATATTTATAGGTCCGCACCTAATTGGTATTGATTAAAAGAAATAAGGAGCAAATATAAGGTTGGTATCATAATTATCACATCAGAAAATTTGTATCATCCCTAATCTAGTATCTATTAGTCATTGATGTTGATGTTAATTATACTTATTGTGTGTATACATTTACTTGGTGAAAAATCAAGAAAACCCACATGGCATCACATGAACTATATCTATAAAAAGAAATAGTACAGATAAGATGGTCCACACTGAGTCACTCAGTGTGAGGCAAGGCAAGCCAGCTTGGCAAAGACCAAAAGAGCTCGTAACCCGTGTTGTCAAAATCTTTCATATTCATCAGTTGCCATCAACTTTGAAACATTGCCCAACTCCGAATAAATATGCCGCTTTTGTCTGCCTTTGCTGCAAAAATGAAAATTCTTCATCACATTTATTTCAACTTCTTAATTTGAACAAATATTGGTTCTTAATTTCTTTTAATCAACCCCAAATCTCATATAAACTTACTATAATAAGTTGAAGCAATTATGAATCGTTATGTTATATGTGTAAGGTAGTCCTTTAAGGTTACAGAACTAAATAAAGACGATAATGAATTAGTCGGGTCGATTGTGATTAACCTCTTTTGATGCAAATAAAGAATTATATTTAGGGACAATTATTTAAATATAGATCGTTATAAGAGGAGGATCGATCGGGAGAGAGATTTTTCCAGAGAAAATAAGATTCGACCTTTTCCCTAAAAAAAAATTAGTTTTATATTTTTGTATCTCAAGTGTCACGTGATAAAAACGGGGTGAAAGAAAATTTATCCTTCCTAAATATCATTCATAGGGCTAGAATAAACTTATCTAATTAATATATTAGCTGCTCAATAGAGAAATAATCGTGTTTGTCAATATATTTTATATATGTCCAGCTATTATATATTTTATAGAATATATTGATTTAGTTGGGAGTCTGCGGTGGTCCTCAATTCCTTGGCTACCAAACCTTTGTATATGTGTGTCCCTCTTTATGCTTACCCAAGGGCACCATGTCCTAAACGGAACATACCCTCCCATCCCCCAATCCATGATTTGGTCAACATACCTTACACTATGCATGTGAATGTGTATTCGAAATACTACACCAATATTCTTTTCATGCACATTAAGGCACGAGTACTCTTTGTAGTGATAGATCTATAAATATTTTTTAAAGTGAGCACACATGTATTCGTAACATAATTTTTATACAGTGCGAATACAAATAAAATTTAATGATATATACAATCAACAAAATGAATAATTAATCGAAGAAAATTCAGATTTTAAGATAAACATGCGTACACCCTAAATTTGGTGTACCGCAGGGAAAAGGAAGGCATGCATGTATGAAATTAGCTCAGTTGTTCGGAGTAAAATTTCACGTTTGAATTTTAATGGAGGCGTTTTTCTACATCTTCATTTATCTTAAGGGGATAATTAATAAATTATTTTAAATTAAATGTCAAATTAATAAAAAAATTAAATAAATATAACTTGTTTAATTATTTGTTAACGAAGATTAAATTGGAAAATTGCATAAAATTAAGGGATTAAAACTATTATACCATGCCACATCATCATTTCTGTTAAGTCGGAAGTTAAACTGAACGATCAGTAATCAAAATAGAAAAACATAACGTTAGAAGTTAGGTATAACTTTTTCCAAAAGAATAATGTACTGACTAAAATAAAAATATGAAAATAGATAGAATACCAAATAAATAAATTGGCCTGTTATTTTTTATATTTATGTTCATGATTGTTAGCTACTATTTTAATTTAAAAAATGAATTTTATCTTTTAAAATTACATGTAATTTACTTGTACCTTCGAAATTTAATGATGTAATATAATATAAAAGCAAAAATTGTGCAACCCAGTTGAGCAATGTATCCATGGAATCCTACCGAACTCGCGTAATACACAAGTATTAGAGGGTGAGGGCATATATGCTCACTAATATATTAAGTAAATAAATATATAAAGCAAGATTAGGTTGTCATATTTTTTATATAATCACAAAAGCAAAGGGTATAATGGCAGTATTAGTAACCTATAAATAGAAAATAAGGAATGATGCAAATGCTAAGGGGGAAAGGCAAAGAGATGGGCAAAATTTTAAACTATTCCCCAATAGAGTTGGGATAAATAAATTTATTTGGTGATTCCATAGTCCATTTATAATTATAATTCCCTTCTCCATACTCATTAGGTAATGTAAATAGTTGGATACAGTTTGCATTTTGCAATGCCAAATGGGATATTACCATTGGATTGTAATATATATCAGGTGGAATTCCATTAACAATTATTTTTTAAGACATTAATAAATAATGTTGTGAGGGTATATCTTTCTTTAGGTTTTTTTTTATATAATATTGTAAAATAGAATAACTCATGCACTCCTTTTTAGAAAGTCATTTTTGTTAAAAAGGCAAAGTTCTACTTGAGAAAAATAATCATTTATTTAAAAATATATGTATACTTAATTTTACCAACATAGAAAGTGTGGGACCCGTATTATTACAAAAAGGCTAAAATACATCTCATGTTATTTACTATTAGTTTTTTTTTATGTAGAAAATTGATAGTTTTATTAAAATATATATATATATCTAAAATTATAATAAAGATTTACAAGTATAATCGTAAACTTAAAATATATTTATGACATTTTCTTTTTATCATTGAGAAAAAAATTAATCACCTAGATCGCATAAAGATACGAACAAATCTGACTACATTGGTAAATAAACCACAAATGAGATTAAACTACTAAAAGACCACCGACAAATCGCAAATCAGAGTCAAACGACGTGAGAAAACTATCTATGAACGCAAAACACGTATCCAAATCAATCCGATGGTCCAAAGTATGGAATGTCATCATGATAACAAATAAATGCTATGACGATGTCAAATCCAACCCTGAGAAGAAGAAAAAACAACGGCAAAAAACCGTAAACAATGACAAAAAATCGTAAGCTACCAAAAGACAGAAAAAAAAAACATGTCATAAAGACAGAGACAAGTGTGCTATAAAGGCAAAAAATATGTTATAAAAATATAATTATTCTTATTATAAAACTAAAATAAACAAAGAAAGAGAGGTAATTGACGAGCGGCAATTAGCATTAAAATTGGTGTCACTGTCAGTTAAATAAAATTAAAGAAAAAAAGATTAGACTGATGAATAAAATTAACACAAATTATAAATAAAAAAAAAGGAAAAGAGGAGTACTATTAGTTTATTATAATAGATTGTTTTCTAAGTTATAATTTAATTGCTTAATTAATATATTATTACAATAGTTCATTTCGTTAGAATTTAAACATGTGTATAATATAGTACAATAATAATTTAGTCTCTAAAATTTATACATTCTATTAATCAGATCAAAACAACAAATACATTTTATAACAAAAATAATAATAAATTATTATTAGACTGTTATTATACCAAGAAGTAACATGAAAATAATATTATAACATTTCTAGAAGAAAAACAAAAACTAAGGGGTTGTTTGTTTACTTCAGAATGATTAAGCGTTGAATGATTCAAATGTTGATGAGGCTTTGTATGAATTAGCTCTGAATGTGACTGTTGTTTGAATGACAATCATTCAGTGTACTTCTGTGCTGAATCAGTCAGCACTGAATCATTCATAGGTGCGAAACAAACGCGCTGAATGTTGAACGGTTCAGCATTCAGCGCTGAATGATTCTATTAAGAGGCAAACAAGCCCTAAATTGATAAAAAAAAATTAGATATAAAGGGTTAAATTTATTAAATTATTTTAAAATGATAAAATGTATAAATTTTAAAAACTAAAATTATTATTAATTTTATCACCATTTTGTTTAATATTAAGCAACCAATGATTATAATAATATTTTAATTGAATTATTAAATTATAACTTGAAAAAATAATCGTTTGTAATCGAACTAATAAATATAAGGTGTATTTTACCTTCATAAAAATCCTTGCTAAATGTAGCTATAAGTAACTTTTTAAATTTTTGAAGCGAAAAAATCACAATTGGATTGATGATTTAATGAAATCAATAGCATGTGTAATAGCAATAGCAGTAGAAAATGCCAATAGGCGCATGGCATAACAAACGCTGATGCACCAGCGACCTTACCAGAGGTAGAACAAGCTTCGTCCACATGGCATGCTAATAACAAAGAAGACGTGTCTACAATCATCGGATTGTTACTCAAAGAGCTTTGAGGGCCACTCGCTTACAATTCTATGTTAAAATTATGTAAATCAAGAGACAAATAGGGTTGCCCATAATGGACTTTGTCGAATTTCAATCCGGTGTGGTTTTATTATGACAAACCGGAATATATCAAATCGATTGTAATTGACTATGCCATTAGAATATAATGAATTCCTTTCTTAGAAAAAACAACAAAACAAAACAAAACAAAAGATGATGTAACCCTGCTTCCACACAAACATGGCCTACGACACATTTAATAAAAGCGAGACTTGAAGTAGCTTGGCCACGACTACAAGCACAGCCTGCCAATGTTGTCAAATGTAACCATGTCTAAGAACATCATTCACTCAGGCAGCAATGCATTACATTAATGGTCAACAAAATTAAGATGAAGATCAGACAAAATGCTGTTCTGTTTTCACCAACACGTTACTGAATCAGGCAAAACAATTACAACAGGCCCAACTTCATACACCACGGTCTCTTCATTTAATCTTTTCGACGATGTCCAAGATCACCTTCTCCATGTCGAGATCCTTCATCGGTTTAAATGGTCTCTTCATGTCCTGCAAAACAGATATTAGTCTCTATTCACAGAAAACAACCAGGCTATTGTGTCTATTTTCTGTCAAGAACCATGACGCAGAAAGTCGATTTATTATCCTATAGAAAACTGATTCATATGAAAACTCTAATTTTTCTCACAGATAAGATTTCTCCAACTATACATTAAGCGAGACAAAAATAAATTAGCTGCTCATAAATACTGCAAGATGTAGTTTTACCAGCAGACTGATGAACGTCTCTCCGCGTTCCTCTCGTATTTCAAAGCATCCTCTTCTTGGCTGTTGGAAATTTGGAAAAACAAATGAGAGGATAGATCGACCATGAAACAGGCACATATAAGAAATCAAAAACTATAAGAACACTGGTAGCCAAAGACATGAAACTCAAGAAACCATACATAGATCATGATCAAGGCATCTCCCCTTTTAACATATTGAACTAGACACCAGTAAAATCGATCAAAAACTAAAAGCAACATTCTATCATGTACATATCTGTTTGGAGTTAAGTAAAGTTAAACATTGAAAATAGTAGCTCAAAATGTGGTTAGAAATGCAGTCCAACTGCAAACATTATGTATGAATACGATTTCAACACACAACAAAAACAAAATGGTCTTTTATCTTGAATAAGAAGTATCTTTGAATCTGACGGGAGCTAAACAAATTCGAATTCAAACATGAACTAGTATACTCATTCATCTTCTTTTTTTAATAAAACCAATTGTAAAACAGAAAAAGCATCAACAGTTGATGTCTTCATGGTGCATATGCATCTAAAAGCACAACTGTATGCACACTTTTTACAGGTATTAAACAACCCTCTAATGTATGCTTCAATAGAGTTGAAATAACACAACATGAATGCCTTCAGACAATAGATAATTGAAAGATTTTTTTTTTTGGGAAAAAAGAGGACGTTTTCACTGCAAACCAGGTATATGAGGTTTAACCTTTTCAGGGTTGAGCGACACTTTGACGCCAGGAACACCTTTCTCCAAACCATCTTTGACTTGAAAGGCCCTTGTCTTGAATGAATTGCATTGCTTGCTAGAGAAAAGGAATCATAAGACAAAGGATTTGAAGCAGCAGCATAAAGAAGGAAATATTTCAAACAAATTTCATTCAACCCAATCCATTAAAATAAAACTATGTCAAAATAACCGAAACAAAAGGGGAAAATGGTTTGCTGCTCTTTTCACACAGATACTTGCTACTTCATTTCATGTTCCTTATTGTTACAAAATTGAAGGGGGAAACATTCTAGACCTATTAATTTTGGACCCAACATGTTTGGATTCGAGCCATGCTGCTCGTGTCTGACCCCTAAATGAAGGAAACTCTACCAGTAGTATATTCTCCATTGACCTTACTTAAGAAGAATCAAGCTCCATCAACTTGACCTAACAGGGACAAGTAAACAGGGGACAGTTATTAGTAACAAGGGACATAACTAGGCAACGATACAACAAAATTAGAGTTTAGTTTCAAAACGTTATGTTCTTATTTGACATTTATATTTTCATCGTCACGGGAAGTTTACAAGCTACGGCACAGTTATTTGTTTGCTTGAGGAGCACTATACTATGAACAATGATGATTTAACGTTAGCCAAAAGTTTGACAACCGTTTCAAAACCCTAAACCTAGAGAAATCCAAAATGGCCATCAGAATAATAAAAATATTGGCAACATTACACCCTCAACTACTCGTGTCGTGTTCGTTTCTTTCCTCGCAAAAAAAAAACCCTTAGATTTTAATCTTCCATTTGGGTGGGGGAACAGTGAAGAGAAACTTACCAGTGTTCTATTACTACAGTCTTGTTGGAGGATCCACCGTCAGCAGAAGTCAAACCCTCAGGCGAAGCTTTGGCTGTGTTAGCAGCATCCTCCACAGATTCTTTTCGACTCTTGGGACTGGACTTCGTCTTAGCCTTTGCTTCTGCTTTTGGTTTCTCCTTGATGGGTTGAGTTTTGGTTACCGGCTGACTTGTCATGCTTCTAGTAACTCTTTTCACAGCCTCTACAACATGAGGCTTGGCTTGCTCCTCCTCCCCTTCCGTCGTCTTTCGTTTCGAGACCCTCGGCGCCATTTTCTGTTCTCTCTTTCTCTTCGTTGTGGTTTGGTTTACATGTATTTTGGCAATAAAAACGGCTGATATTATTTTCCCGCTTTACATAAATTGGTGATTTGAACGGACGATCAGTTCGCCAAGTGAAAAAAAAATATCTTCTGGAATGGAAGACCCCCCATCCACTGACTACAAGAGTGTAGCCTAACACCCAAGTTAGCCTGACGGTCAGCTAAATGAGTCGCTTCCCTCTTCACATGATGAATTTTAACTCGATATATATATTTTTTAAGTTTCCTCAGGATAAGTCATAGGCGCCAAGGTTCTCCAAAAACAAGTTTCAGCTATTGATGTAGCTTCTTGTCGCTACTTACTAGAGGAATCCCTTCTATACCACTCAACAAAAGCAAAAATCCCATCAAGATAGATTGAATCGACGACCATCCTGGCCCTTCGTGCTACCTGCCCATACTACTTGTCTCTTCTCAAATAATTCATTAATTATTTTTTATGAATATCGTTTTAACTTTTTCTTCTAAAATTAAAAAAATATTTATGGTCACTGTTCATCTAATAATACAGTAAAATAATTTTTTTTAACAATTCAAATTTTATTGTATTTATAATATTTGTGTGTTATTATAAATTAATTTTTTAAAAATAAATATTAGTATCTTATAGTCCTCTCATGTTATTAAAGAAAAATAATAAAATCTGATTTTTCTATTAAAAGTAGGGGTGACCAAAATTCAACTAGACTCGAAAAATCAATTTTTCGACTTGATTCGACTCGAATTATAATTTCATAAACCCAACTGAACTCGAAAAATTTTCAAGTTCAAATCGAGTTATAAAATGCAACTCGAAAAACTCAAAATTTTTAGTAATTAGTGGATTTGTTTTCAAGTTTAAGTCGAGTCTTTGGACTTTGTATGATACATGTATGTTACATATAAAAAAATGAAAAAATATATTTGTATTATATATATGGTTATAGAAATTCACTTAAATTGAAATTAAATAATATTATAAATATTTACAATTAAATTTAAACAATAACTTGAAAAATCGACTCGAATGGACTCGAAAAATTTCAAATCAAGCCCGAATTGTAAAATATGACTCGTCAACTCAAATAACTAGAAAATTTTTAACTCGAGTAGATCGAATGCTCACCCCTAATTATAAGCTATTACAATGGCTTGAAGTAGTTCGGATCCTCAAAAATAAATACGATGGCTCTCATTTATTGCAATCGTACTAGTGGGAACTTGGGCAACGTAAATGGGTTGTCCAGGTTCAGCATATTCTAATGGTGACATGGTGGCTGATACTCTTGCCAAGAATGCTAACCATAGTAGCTTAGCTCCTGCAGTTTTTTACTACTCCAGCCTTCATTGATGCTCCGCTGAATGCTGATATTGCTCGTGTATAATGGCTTTGGTTTCAGCTTGCTTTTTGGGTGATGATTTCGTTTGTTTTCTGGTTGTAATTGGTTTGCTCTCTTATATAATATTGTCACGTGTTTTCCTTTCTTTCTACTAAGATAGGAGATTTTATCGAGACATGTGACAATATTTCTTCGTACATGTAAAGCACGTTTAATATAATACACTCTTTAGTTTGGATGTAATTTGATACATTTTACCTACATGACCTAGAAAGCTAATGGGTTAATTTACATAGTCATAAGTGGAGTGTTAAGCTTTATTTGTAAACAATGTGAGATAAAGAACAAAAGAGTATTCCTTTAACATTTTTCACCTTATCTTTTTTATTTTTTTTACATTTATAATATATCATATAGGAAAAAATGGCTCAATAATCCACCTGGATTATTTATTTAACCCAATAGGCCAAACTCGCTATGCTCACCTGGTGAATTTCTCGAAAATTATTTTTGAATGGATCAAGGTCTATGATACCGTGGGGTCTAATTGTTTAATATATTTCTTGAAACTCGTCATGCCTGAGTTCCTTTAATATATATATATATATATATATATATATATATATTTCTAATTTAAAATAATATAAAATATTTCTATATTTTAAAAAAAATGATGATCAAAGTCGGTGATACAAATAAAATGGGACAATTCACATAGTTTATCCTAAAACATAACTATATATTAATTAATGTTTTTTAAATATTTTCTACGACACTGATTCAAGATTTTAGAATAAGTACAGAGAAATACATTTTAATCCTTAATAAGGGTGGACAAAAAACATATACTATTTTGCATAACAAACTTTAATCCTACTTCCACATTACATAATCTCAGGGGTATAGTTGGAAAAACTTATGCAGAAAATCTCCATATAATAACAATAATAATATCTTCAAAACTTACCATTGGGTTTGGGAAAACCATGGGGGGATTTTGTGTTGATTACTTGACAATGGCATGGGAGGGGATTTTACAGCAAAGGCCTCTTGCCGACGGCTATGCCACTGTATAATTAGAGAGATTGATTAACAATCTGTTTAAGTTTTCTGAATGAAATTTTCTAGCGAACAAATAACAGGGCCTCGTCACATTATTCCACAAGCATGGCCCGGTGAGCATTCTCCTCTGCCAACCAAACCATGAAACACAAACAGCTCTTTGTTACTCTATAATTTAACCCATTTTATATAATTGACCTTTTTCTTTTACCTTCGGATCACTTGTGTAATGTACGCCGTCATCAATGAACTGCACAAATCAAAATCTACTATTAATGATAACAAACAAAGTGGAACTACTAGGGATCGTACTGCAAGGTGTTTGAGGAACTCGAATGCTATATCTTCAGCCTGAGCGATATGGGATGCCACTTACTTTCAGACCAATCTACGTACGTTACTGACCGATTGGCAATTCCACCTGAATCAATCATCTGAAGTATACTTGATATTTGAGTCTACTTAATAAATTGGTGTTATTGTATGTGTTGACGAAAACGGGTAAAGAAAACGAAAGAACACGAGAATTTTACGAGGTTCGGCAATGTGCTTACGTCCTCGGTGCCTAGGCGGCGCTAGAAGTTTTATTCAATGATATTTTAGGTCTAGGTTACATCTCTATTTATAATAGAAAACCCTGGTACATAATTACAAAATCAACCCTGTACCGTACCGCGGGGGCTGCGCCCCCACACCCCCAACCCACATAATTCGTAACCCCACAACGAGACTTTTTATGAGCCATACATAACAAATCTCCACCTTGGCGAATATCCTGCCCCTTGGAAACTTCAATGTGGGTTGGGTTACCTTGCTTCTTTAACAACTCGAAACATTCAACAAGTCCAAGCAATGATTGAACTTGTCTGTCGTAACTGGCTTGGTGAACATATCAGCGGCATTCTCATCAGTATGTACCTTCTGAAACAAAACCTCTCCAGATGCAACCAACTCTCTGATCTTGTGGAACCTTACATCAATATGTTTAGTTCTAGCACGATACACCTGATTCTTAGCCAAGTGAATAGCACTTTGATTATCACAAAGCAACTGAACTCCACCTTGTTGAACACCCAACTCCTTCACTAAACCAGTAAGCCATAAAGCTTCTTTTGCAGCTTCAGCCGCTGCCATGTATTCAGCTTCAGTTGTAGATAGTGCCACGACAGATTGAACAGTAGACTTCCAGCAAATAGGCCCTCCACCAAGAGTAAACACATACCCTGTCGTAGATCTTCTATTATCCAAGTCACCTGCATAATCTGAATCCACATATCCTACAACCAAAGGGTTATCCCGCTGACTCCCAAAAACAATTCCATGTCCCACAGTACCCTTTAAGTACCGAAAGATCCACTTGACTGCTTCCCAATGTTGCTTACCAGGTTTAGACATGTACTTACAAACTTGACTAACAACATGAGCTAAATCAGGACGAGTACATACCATCGCATACATCAAGCAGCCAACAGCATTAGAATACGGAACCTTTGCCATATCTTCAGCTTCCTTATCTGTCTTGGGGCACTGTTCTGATGAGAGCTTAAAGTGATTCGCCAATGGAGTGCTAACTGGTTTTGCGCTGCTCATCGCAAACCTTTCTAGCATTTTCTCAACATAACCCCGTTGAGATAGCCGCAGTTTCCTTGAGTCTCTGTCCCTGCAAATTTCCATTCCAAGAATTTTCTTTGCAGCACCTAAATCTTTCATATCAAATTCCTGACTCAATAAAGTTTTCAAACCGATAACATCATCCATGTTCTTCGCAGCAATCAACATATCATCAACATACAGTAATAGAAAAATAAAAGAACCATCATCAAGGCTCTTAACATAGACACAACAATCATACTCACATCGGTTGTAGCCAATCTTGATCATATAGGAGTCAAACCGTTTATACCACTGTCTCGGAGACTGTTTTAACCCGTACAAAGATTTCTTCAATCTGCAAACTAAATGCTCGTTTCCAGGTTGAGTGAAACCTTCAGGTTGCCGCATGTAGATCTGCTCCTCTAAATCACCATGCAAAAAAGCAGTTTTAACATCCATCTGCTCTAAATGCAAATCCCAACTAGCCACCAATGCAAGTACTGCTCGGATTGAAGTGTGCCTGACCACAGGAGAAAAGATTTCATCATAATCAACTCCTTTCTGCTGTGAAAAACCCTTCTCTACCAAACGAGCCTTGAACTTCTCCCCCTCTTTTTCTGTTACTGCTGGTTTCTTCTTATACACCCATTTGCAACCAATCGGCTTCTTACCCTCAGGAAGGGGAACTAACTCCCATGTGCGATTGTGATTCAAAGACTCCATCTCCTCAACCATGGCTGCCATCCACTTGTCGTTTTCCTGACTAGTAACGGCATCATGAAAAGTAACTGGATCATCACTGCTAACAGTAAGTGCAAAAGATACAAAGTCTTCAAAACCCAATCTGTTCGGAGGCTTTATATTCGTCCGTCTCACCCTGTCTCTGGCGAGACTATAATCCTGCAAATCATCCGTAGTGGAACCACCAGAAGTCGGTTGAGAAGTTTCTGGTTTCTCAACTGGAAACTGCTCGAAATCTACCACTGTCGTGTCTTGCTTCTGCTGCAACATAGACTGTTCATCAAAAACGACATCTCTACTAATCACAACTTTCTTCGCAACTAGATCCAGAACTTGAATCCTTTGACACCTTTCTTGTAACCCAGAAAAATGCACTCCTTCGATTTTGCATCAAGTTTGGATCTCTCATCAGCAGGTACATGCACATAAGCAGGACAACCAAAAATCCGTAAGTTATCAAAACTAACATCATGACC